TTGATGGATGACAGAGGCATGTCTGGATAACTCGGGGTTTTTGAGACGTTCCCCTGGGTGGGTATTCACGGATGAGGGTTGACTTGGGGTGAAGAAAAAGCCACCGTAACTTCGCAGTGGTACTTGCAAATGAAATCTGAGGCATGAGTGCTCCTATTATAAACTGAGTCATCTTTTCTGTACTTATCTCTGATATTGTGTTATAGCTAGATAGCTGCATACGCAATTAAAATCTGATGCAAAAAAAAAAAAGAGAGAATATTTGGCTTAAAAACTTAATCAATAGATACTTCTTGTTGATACAGTGGCATATAAAGATGTAGCACGAGAGAACTTTAAGAATAGTTGCCAAGCTATATAGTGATGTAATCCTAAAATTGTGAAGAAATAAATATCGCCTCTAGTCTGGTACAAATACGATATTTCCGTAATATTTGGAATAATTAACAAATTTACAATGATCTATATTTTTTCTCCCTAAGATGTCTTGACTAGCCACGCAGTAATAGTTTTATTGGTATGGGTTGACAGTGTTGTGGCTTAGGCAGGCACCTAAGCAAGATCGAAGTTGGTTACATCATTTCTAAATCATTGGAATAACGTATAGAGAGACATCTTAGATGAGGTGCGAGTTGAAATGAGGTAATGTACGATTTAGAATGAAATGACGTCTGGTTAAACGACTATCTAGCAGTGAGGGAAGGGGTGAGTTAGAAAAGATTACAGGTAACCTTCTTTGGTAACTGTAGTTTCCTTTCTTCCCTAATTAGTTCCATACATCGAATTTTATAATAGGCAGCTTGGTTCTTTCACATTTATGTTGGGGCTGTCGATTTCAATGATTGTTTCTGATAGCTGGCTTTATATGAAGGTACATAATCTCCTTGCCTCAGGCTGCAAACCCTTATCTAAACAGATGATTTAGGCCCTGAAAGGTCAAGATATGTGTTATATTTTGAGTTGAACGATTTTGGTCTGATACGTGTCCATGGTGCCCGAACGATCTATGGAGTGATGACGACAGCGTTAGTTTATGACGGCTGCAGTGTGAGTAGCTTTACCATATCGCAAACTGGCCAAAAGTCAAAATGATGGGTTGGAGGTCATCCAGCTATACAGGGTGTGTATGTTTTTATTGTACTACTTGAGTCTATGAATATCTAGCACATTGGGCTCCTCTCTGACCCAGGCCTCACCTTGTATAGTGCTCCTACCCTCTATTGTTACTTGAAAGATCATTGATATATTCCCCTTGATGAATAGCCATTCAGCTCAGTGTTTACCCGTGGAATTCGGCCACCTTTTCCATGGAACCTTCTACCCCAAAAAAAAGAAAAAATGGTAGCAATGGAAACTGCGTGCGCGGGAAAATGTCTCGAAAAACCTGCAGCCCCAGCCAGGCGAGGACTAGACACCGGGACCACATGAGGTGCGCATATTCATCTACATCTCCCTTCTTTGTAACAGTCGAGGTCAACTTGATCCAATCTGCCATCTCCGTATCGGGTGCTGGGTACGCTCCGGAAACTCATCGGATGGCTTTTCCTCCATGATCAAGGGTTGGTGATGAGGAGGGTTTTGACCCGACCATCTGATATGATCGTGGTTAGCTTCATGATAATGGTGATAGGGGAATATGTTGAGAGATGAAGACGATACAGACCGCGAATACGAATGGGAATCCTCGTCGAAGTGAGGACCTTGTTACTCAATCTTGGCTCTGCAGACTCTACAGTGAGAGCTGGAGGTTCGTAGGGGGCACCACTGACAGGTGTTGAGAACAGCCCCCCTCCAGCTATACAGTCATGCCCCTGTTAAAACGATATTGCCGTTAAGACAAGATTTTTTCCAGAACGGACTTCGTTCCCATACATTTACCGGTTACACGATTATCGTTCTTCAACTTCTGAATGTCATCTCAACCAGGGTTTTTTTGCTAGATTGGTGCTGATAATGCCGCCAAAAAAAGGGAATTTCTGTGGAGCAACGACGTGCTCTGCGACGATGGGCGCACCGCCAGGTCCCAAAACTAACACAAAAACAGTGCATTGAGTGGTTCTTAGCTGAGTACGGCCATCAATTAAACAAGTCCACATTCTCCGAGTCCTTGAGCAAGACCTTTGCGAAACTCGACGAAGCTCCAAGTACTACTACGCTATAAAAGCGAGCTGGAAACTGGCCAGACTTTGAGAGTATTGGAGCGATTAAAGACAGCTAATGGGAGTGTAAAAGAGGCATCAAAAGTACAAAGTCACTTAGATAGCTGGATTAGATAGTGATATCATTTTAAACGATATCTTCTATAAGACGATATTTTTCACGGCCTCGATTACGTTATCTTAACAGGGGTCTGACTGTACTCTACTGCTGATACATAATGTAACGGTTTTGAAAGGCAATACTTAACACCTGTACGCGGTGTCCTCTACGAACCTGGGAGTGAAATATTCTCCCAGTGCCAAGTTCAGTCAAATTTTGCAATATTGAACAAGTTGGCCCACGAGGCAATGATTCAAAAAACTCCACCATTTCAATCTTTCATTCCGAACGAAATCGATTCCTACCTAAGCCTCATCAAGTCTATACGTACGACCTAGTACCCCCTCATTCCAATAATGACACCTCTTGTTGACTTTCTCTGGCCTCAACTCGTCAACAAATACACGCCCACGCCTATATTTATACCCGCAGGAGGAAACAAAGCGTGGCGCACAAATCTGGGAGACTGTTCTTTGGGATGGAATCGAGAGGGATCAGGACAAGTTCACAAGATCATGCAAAGGAAAGATATAACCTCAAAGATCGTGAAATTCATAATTTTGGCAAGGAGTTTTACGAATTGAGCTTTGTGTACGCCAAGACTTGGCTTGACATTACAACATATATCCGACGAACTTGGCTTCACAAGAAGGCAAGTGCAACTTACGTGTGCTCGAGAGACAGAGAATCCTAAGCCTTGCAAAAGATACTCAACTCAATTAAGCGCGGAACAAGTTGATGAGCTTGAGGCTTTCGTCTGGGAATCTTCTGAAAATCGACAGATGTGCTATTTGGAACTAGCAATGGGACCTTTCAGCCACTGGGGATGCAATGAGGGTTTAATTTCTAATGCCCTCAATAAATTAGGTTACAGCAGATGCATTGCTCGGAAGAAACCTCTGTTAAGTGAGGTTAACATGGACGAAAGATGGGTAGCGGCGATAAAAGAAAATGGAGGGTACACAAAGTATTAGGATGGAGCAGACTAATTCAAAACATGTAGTAGGCTTTGATTTTACTCGTGAGCCATACTGAGGGCTCCGATCTAAACTTTTGAAATACAGAGCAATTATTTTTGATATAGATGTGTATTTGTAGATAATATCAATTGATGATGATTGGGTCCAACACGTCGGACTATCAGAAGGACTACCTGTCAGGAGATTGATAGTATCTGCGTGCAGCAAAGTCAAGCAGACTACAAGGGGAACAGAGAACAGGCACGCCAAGAATCGAAAGCAAGACATTGAAGAATGGACCAGAATTTGTGGCCTAGAGAATGAGAAAGGGAGACAAAAAGAAGCCGGTAAGGTGGCCGCGTTCCAGGAGTGGAAAAACTCATGGACACGTCCAGCAAACGAGATACCATCTGGTCATCGAGCTTCGGCAGACCCCGAACATTGGAAAGCCGCAAATATTATTACAGATGAGACAACTGGCAGAAAAAGGATTACATATAGAAACACACCCTCAAACATCCACCGAAACCTAAGTAGGGCCCAAAGCAGTATTGCAGTTCAGATAAGAAGTGAGCACATTGGTCTTAATTCTTATCTGTATCGAAGGAAAGTTCCCGGAGTGATTGATCCAAAATGTCAGTGTGGATATCCGTCTCAAAATGTCAAACATATGGTCTTGGCGTGTCCTCAGTGGGCAATGGGAAGAGGAGAGGTGCTTCAAAAGGCAAAAGACAGGTCATTTGCGGCAATGATGAACAGCCCAGATGACATAGAGAGAATAACAAAATGGATCCTGGCAAAAGGCTGGTTTGAACAATTCCGGCTTGCAGGAGAAGTAGAAATAGCATTGGACGAAAGGATGAGACGATGTGGACAAGGATAAGACGGATTTCACACTGTATAAACAGTGTAATCGCACTTCCTGTAGGAAACCTTAGAAACAAAATAGACACGATACAGACAGTTGTAGGGGGTTTTTACCGAATATGGTTTCCTCCTGTGTAAATATTATAGCTAGTTATACCTGCATGGGCCCATAGGGTACCTGAACGGGCTAAATGAAATCAAATCAAATTGATGATGATTTATTTATCGTGCCAGGCTTACACTCTCCATCCAATGGACATGACACGCATAGAGGACATCTAGAATACAAGTTCCTCCATTCTCCAGCAAAGCCCATCTGGTGCCTGACTTTTCCAAATACGTGCCTCACGCTAGTTACATCGGGTCGAATAGGTAGGAACGCATACATCATGATCCTAAGATCACGTATTGAGGGAAAACTTCAATAATTCCTCCTGTACTCTTTCACGACGAGCAGCCGTAGTTCCCCCTCAAACAGGCCGTGTAGGAATCCAACCTACCACTTCTAGAAAGCACATCCAGCACCCGACCAATTGTGCCAACAGCCTGTTGAAAAACACATATCGTTCTTCCCAAATCCTCCCCTACATTGCGGTCAACCCCCATGTGAGAGGGCTGAGATTCCGAAACCGAGAGCTCAAAACCGAGGCATCGGTGCACCAGCTTTTGTGGTACATTGTTCGTTGTCTGAGTGAGGCTCCTTCGTTCGCGCCGATGACTCTAAGATGATTTAGCGATAGCCAAAAATAAGTTTATGACATAGCCAGGCTAACGCTTAGCAGATAATCCAAAATGTACTCACGTACCCAACTTTCCGAAGTCAGTAACCACCTTTATTTGCAACCATCATCAATTCAGACTCGCAATGCCACCAAATAACTGGCATAAAAAATCTTCTAGTACAACGTTTTGGCCATGCTCGACACATCTTTCCAACCTGCTCCAAGGCAGGTTGACAAACCTTCCCAGCTGATCCCTGTGGGTATCCGTGAAGCCTCATATGACTCGCCAACGTTCAGGGCAACAGCTACTCACTTTTCAGAACAAGTAGAAATTATCGAAAAGTGGATAGACGCCTATCTCAAGTCTGCATCAAGGCTGATCAACGAAGCCTTATCCTTGGAGGACACATATGCTACATTTATTCAACGTTCGATCCCACCTGCACATATCTCTGAAGCTGTCATAGATCATGACTACACACTAGTTGCGATGAAAAAGTTTGGGGAATGCTCCAAAGATTGGTGGTCGAATATGACATCCAGCATTAAGAAAATGGATAGTATAGTCATTGAGCCTATAAAGTTATTCTTAAACGGAGAGTAAGTGTCACAATTTCCCCAGATTTCTCCATACGTCAGCACAATCAGTGTAAGGAAACTTTTTGCTCTCGTTCCTTGGAAGATACGAGAACATAACTAACATCTTAGGCTAAAAAATTTTAAGGACGCTAGAAGAAACCTTGAGCATACTCAAAAAATATTCGATCAAACACTGATGAGACATGTCAGTCAGTCAAAAACTAAAGAGCCATCATCTTTGCGAGAAGATGCTTTTCAACTACATGAAACGAGAAAAGCTTATCTCAAAGGCAAGATCAAAAAAACTAGAATCTAAAGGTGGAGACTAACTAGCATTGAGAACTACAGCATCTCTAGAATTCTGTATCTTAGCCCCACAAATTCGATATTCCATAGATAAGCTGATCATCCGCATCTCCTTTGATCAGTGGCGTGAAATAAGGCGCTCGAGCGAGAATACTGTTTTGGGGTTCTCAAGGGTTGGAAGCGAAATGGATCGAATTCGTGGATGGAGCAAGGAGATGGAAGTTGGTGAACCTACTTTTCGTCGTGAATTACAACTCGCAATGCGGGAGATAGCCGAGCAAGCTTCAGAAACTTCCAGGCCATCTCGAGAAATTGAAGATTACAACTTTTCTACGGTAGCATTTCTAGGCTCAAAAGGTCCCTCTTTTACCACGCTAGCACAGCAGAAAAAAGAATTGCGATCCGAAAATCAGGGCTGGTTATTTCTACGAACTTTATCTGGAAAACCCGCTCGTACCTCATGGGTACGACGCTGGTTCTACATTAAAAATGGAATTTTTGGCTGGCTTATTCAGGGTTCTCAGTCAGGGGGAGTCGAGGAATCCGAAAGGATAGGCGTTCTTCTATGCAGTGTCAAGCCTGCAGTTCAAGAAGATAGACGTTTCTGTTTCGAAATAAAGACCAAGAACCAAGCAATTTTGGTTCAGGCCGAGACTCAATTTCAGTTAATGAAGTGGCTTGAAGCGTTTGAATTTGCGAAGAATAGGACATTAAAAGCCAATGCCAACACTTCAAATTTCCCTGGTAGTCTAAACCCCGCTTTTGCAATATCAGCTCCACTAATTCCAGAATCAACCATAAAGTACGTTGACGGCAATTCTGCCCGAGTCGCCGATGAACTACTTGCCGGTCATGTTTTTGACCGAACAAGTAACGTTACTGTAACAGGAACAGATTCGGTGAACCTATCTCGAGGAGCAAGTGCTGATATTGAACCTTCTCGCCGCTCCTTCAACATGCGAGATGAGAATGAGAATGGAAGAGATCATGCGACAAGAATAATGCAGCGATTTGACCTCACTCGGAAGCCCACTTTCCAAGATCAGCCTACAACATCAACCTCAACCACATCAGGGGGAATAGCTAGCCTGATATCAGCAAGCCACAATATTCTTCCTGTCGGCATGACACAAGGGGGGATTGGTACACCTCCAAAGGCACAAACTACCCCAAAAGTGTGCTTGGAAACTCAACTGAGCTCTCTAGCTCCTACAACTTTTGCAGTTTCCCCTGCCCAAACCAATCTAAGTAAAACCGCTGTAATTATGTGTAGTGAGCGAAGTATTGGGCACAGCACTGACATTATCTGTGGCATTCCGGTGGTCATTATGGCAAATGTTCTTGGCAGTAACAATTGGGAGTATTTTAATCGTGAGTTTACCAACACTATTTTATCTTAATCTAACAAATAAAATATTAGGACATGAAAAAAATGATTCAAAATTCTCGACTGAACAAAAAAAAAACGCTCACATGAATTCTATTTTCAATACTGTTTACTCTGTACCAAATCAACACAGTGGTGAGATCAATAAATCTATAGCTAAAGCCAATGATGCTCCACCTGTGTCATTTAGACCATCCGTTGATATGTCTTCAAACGCAACCTTAACAGCTTCTAGCCATAGAAAAACTTTAAGTGGTGATCATGGATCAGGCTTGCCTCATAATACTTTTGTCCATGCACTAGATTCTTTCCCCTCGAACTATCCACCGGAATTGAAAACCCAAGATGCACAATTTCGTATTTTATTTCCTAGCGTCTCGCGCGAAGACAAAGTATTACTGGTATTTCGCGCCATGTGGAACTCTAACGAGCAACAAGAATTCCCAGGTAGGGTTTATGTTACCCAAAGGGATATTTTTTTCTACAGCCATCACCTTGGGTTTGTCCTCACCACATTTGTCAATATGAACAATATCACAGAGATTACTACAGCTCCAGGAAAAGATTGTGATTTTATATTTCTCCACATTCAAGACAACTCATCTGGAAGATTATCCCGAGTTACCATCAAAACTTTCTTAGAACCTCTTCGGTTGTTGCAATCAAGGTTGAATTACCTTATAGATATTTCACAATCACATGAGTCAGCGAGTCAGTATTCCAATTTGTGTGATTTTACATAATGATAACAATACCACAATTCTAACTCATTGTAGACCCTGAATCTGCTATAGTTGATTTAATAAATATGGAAAATGAGGAAAGTTTTGATCGAAGCCCAAGTATGGAAAGCTGGGAAGAGATATCCCTAAACGCTTTTAAGGAGGATGATCCCTCATCTTGTCGAAGCCTCAAGGATCAGAATCTGAAAGCTTCTACCCATGTTAACCGAACCTCACGTCACGGAAAGGGGACTAGAGAAATAATGAAATTTCACCTTCCATCGCAGCCTGTTCTTTACGAGCCACCTGATGGTGAACAAAAAGTCATTGAGCGACAGTATAACATAAGTCCCAAAGCCCTCTTTCATGTAATTTTTGGCGACAAAAGCATCGTTTTCCCACTTTTATATCGCAGAAAGGGAGCAGAGCAGGTGTCTGTCGGGCCCTGGCTCGCGCCAGAACAGAGCTGTTTGCGCCGAGAGATGAAGTTTCAAATCGAGTGTGATGATGTGTTCCTCCGGTCGCGACAGGCGACTATAGTTGACCATCAAATTATTGACATCCAAAACGAACATATCTCATATGTTGTGACAACCCATAAGACACTTTGGCATCTTCCTTTTTACCTTAATTTTACGCTAGCATTCAAAATTGTCATAACTCATGTGGCTAAATCAAAATGTAAGTTGACGATTCTTACCAAGGTTGATTGGTCAAAGAAACACAAATTTTTACGAGGTATCATCGAACGCCAAGCACTCGAAGACTCAAGTGTTGACGCAGAAGATCTGCTTAATATACTGACCATTCATACTCAGAAACTGGGACCACATAGCAGAACAAAACGATCTATTAAAATATTTGGGAATTTAGGCGAGCAGACTTCTGCTTCCATCTTCCCTGCAGCAAGTCTGGATCAAGTTAAAAGTCATCAAATTAAACAACGGACTCTTCCAAGCATATTACTGGACTGTTTTGCTTCGATAGGGGAAATTGCGATCACCTCTGTCATTATTTGGATCTTTGCCGCATTGAAATCGATTTGGAAGATAGCTAGTGCCCACAAAATTATTCTTACTACGTTTTTGTTGAGTGTACTAGTTAATGCTTTCTTTACTAATAGAGACACATCAGATTGGTGGGCCGAACGAAAAGCATCAAGGTTTATGGCCAGACTTGGTGTTAGCCCAAACCAAATTATCAGTAGATCTATTTACCTGAAAGACCTTGATGAAGCTACGTCATTTTTACCAAGTAAAAGTTTTCAGCACAAAGACGGCAAATGGTATGTTGGTTGGTGATGGAATAAAGATTTAGGCTAATCTTGGATCAAGCTATAGTCAATTTCAACGAATTATAAACGCTACTGATTTTAACGCTCCTCATCATATGGCCGGGCTCATATCCTCAGACATTGCGACTCAATCAATGGCCCGACGCTTACGAAAAACTCGCCAAAACTTGGGATCATATCGTCATAAATTCATGATCGCCATGCGTGTCATCAATCATATTGAGCGTCAGATTATAACAGCAGAATGGGAAAACTGGCTCGCTGACGAAAACCTTATGTGCGATCAAATATCACTTCTTCTTGAGGAAACTTTAGCACGTCTCTCAAATGGCAAAAAAAGCCAAGAGCTGGTTGATGAGACTATATTTTCAAAAATTAGTGAAAATGATGAGAAAAGATTGAGAGAACTCCAAGATTGGCAAGAAAATTACTGTAGAAGTTGTGGGTTGGAACAAGAATTACTAGCAAGGAGGAGGCGGGATTCGGTGTATTTTTAAGCGGATGTATCCCTGTTAAAATCTTGGACGGAAGGAGTTATAAAACATGCCTTATCGAGCTCTGTGTTTCCCACATTAAAACTAATAAATAATATCATTTGATTTGATTTGATTTGATCTTGAAATCTTTTACGTGATCGGAATAACCCAACATGTTAAATGACAAGATGTGTCTGGTTGGTGTAGGAACTTGCCGAGCCAGTCAAGGTCAAGCTTAGGAGTCGCGTCAATAACGCTACTCATGCAGGTCAGTCGCGTGGAGAAAATTTGTCCTTAATAGTTATAGTCCGTCACTATTTTGTAAATAACACACTATCGCTTCTCATTCTATCTGACCTCCTTCTACTGTGATAATTCTATTGTCTTGTCTACAGTTATACAGCTATAGAAGGCCTCCTAATTTAATACAACATCTATTTAGACCTGATACGGGTAGACGAGCTCTGAGAGCTCATTTCTGTCTACATGACCGGCAGTAAAGCTAGAAGGGACAAAAGAAAGGAAAAATAAAGGTACTGTAAACGATAATGGCTCAATCTCATTACAGCTTAATCACTACGGATCTATACCCAGGTTCAACAAGAAAAACCCCTTTCATATGTATGTGTACGCACGGATCACTTTCAATGCCTGCAAAACTCCCAGTCCTCACATATTACATGGCCGCATAACTAGAGCTGACAGTTAATGAGCCAGACCTAAGGGGTTGGTCTGGTGGTTGCCGGGTGGACCGTGGATCGCCATACTGTACTTAGATTCTCTGTCTCCATAGAATGAAACGAATGCCCCCTTCCCACTTTTATTCAAGACAATTTACTGGTGACCTGCACAGGGGATTTTCCTCGGGTCGTTGTCATTGTCTACTTTGATCTTAACTATCTACCTACTTTATATCATCGGTATCGAGACGTCAGGTGGTGACTATTAGTAATCGTGTCGTGTGGATACGGTCTATTTATCGAAGCAGATCATCTCACGCGTTGAATGGGAGTCAACTGTTATTGGGAGCTATCTCGAGTCCACAGGCTGAAAATTCATCCTGAAATTTAGTTGGCAGCTCGGTGGTCTATATACATATTACGACCTAGTTTTGTGCTGCTGGGTCGAAACGCGTCATCACAGTGCCTGTTAAAGAAACCCGTTTCGTTCAAGTGTTGACCCTCAAGTGTGAATCAATTACGAAGGCCCCATTATTAAGTTAACTTATCGGCCTAACATCTGTGATCTGGAATTGGTGTAGAAGAAGGTGGAAAAATAACAACAGAAGAATAAGGAAGATTACAAAGAAAAAAAAAAAAAAAAAAAAAAAAAAAAAAACGGCTTTTGATTTTAGTGAATTGCGTGCTGAGTTGGAAAGAATCTGGATTGGTGAAGAGGAACTCGGAATGGCAAATCGAACACTCCCAAAGTTTGAACAGGCGGGAAGGTTTGTTGGAGAAGGAAACTCCGGAGCAAGGTGGCTGTCACGACTCGAATATGATTTCAGGACGGCGGGGCATACGACGGTCTCACCAGAAAATTTTTTCTTCGCGATTGATATCCTTTTTGAAGACGAAGCGGCAGGATGGCTTGATTCAACTCCGGAATTAAGGGCCTTCATTGACGACCGGCAGAATTCGACAGATGAGCAGGTAGCTGAGTTTAAACAACAGCTAATTGAAATGTTCCCCGCCAAGTTGGTAAATCACGTCGAAGGGAACCTGCAGAATGATATCCAGGATTTTATGCAGAAGGAAGCTGAACCACTGACAGCATACTATCAGCGTGCGCTACACATTCTTCGTCGGTCACACGGAAGGGATGCCCCAAGGACAGCAGCTCTGGGCAGACCAATGATTCCTATTGAGCAAACAGTGCTCAACTCCATTATCCTTGCGTTCCTCAATGGGCTTCGTGAAGAAGATGTCAGGTGTGAAGCGCTTTCCAGGTCCGCGCTATCATGCGGTTCAATGTGGAGATGTCAAGAAATAATCCTTGGGGTTAAGCAAAGTCTAGATGCGGCTAAGGAAGCTAGAGAAAGAGCCGCTGAGAGGAACGAAATGGCGCAAATTCGAGATCTATGCTCATCTCATTACGGGAAATCCGTCTCATCTGTGCTTGCAGACTTAAGTTCTGGGAGGATAATGGTACCTAAGCCAAGGCAGGGCTTCAGCAATGAAGCCTCATATTATCAACCTCGGCCTCCGCATCATCAACAACAACAGTTTGGGAACGGGTTCAATCATGCCAATAAGGACTCACCTCCTGCCCATCAGACTCTTGGAGGAAACACCACTAATCGTCAGAGCACATATAATCCTGGGAACGTGTCTAAGAATGCGTTTGTTAATGGAGCTGCTATCTACAAGGCGAGTGATGGACCGTTGTGTTTTGGATGTGGCCATGTAGGGCATATTAAACCGAAATGTCAGAATCTGCAACTTCAGAACTGGGAGCAAATTCACCTCAAGAATTTAATATATGATCGCCCTCAACCTCCGAGAGAATCAAACTCGGTACACTACGGTCATAGATACGGTAGGTGGAAAGAGAGTCAAGATTTTCACCGTCCACTAAATCCTCACTCTGATTTGCACAATCTAAGTGAAAATTATTCCTCTAGATCTCGAGGAATGAATGGTAACTATATGGATGTCCCAGACCAACCTCAATTGAACTCCGCTTTTGGATATAGGCCAGAAAACTACGGTTCAAGTCAACACAGCCGGAATCACCCACCAGCAAGGACTGAGAGTCAGGAGACGCATAGAGATGAACCTGAGGGATCTTGGAGAGCGCCGCCCAAAGTTCATTTCGCGGATCAAAGAGATGCGGACTGTTCACTCAGTCAGTTTGCCGACATCGATATACCAGATGATCATTGGCAACACACTGAATCAAAGGCCTGCGAACTAGGCACACAGGTTCAATCATTCAGCTCTGGACCAGGTAGGAAGAGGCAACGAATCGATATAGAAGATATCCTTAGCAATAATTCGCCCAACGAGCCTGTCAATGAGGATGAAAATCCTGGAATATGTCGGCCTATAAAACCGGCAAGAAAAGGAAAGCGGATTCTAAAGCATTTGAGGGAGATAGTGGGCAGAGAGGGATGCGGCCCTATGGATTATGTGGAACTGGCGAGAAGAATATGTATACCTCTAAATCTTCTTGAGCTCTGGCAAGTGAGTCCAGATACGGCAAAGGAATTCCGAAGACTCTCAACGAGGATGAACAAGAAGAAAGGGAAGCAAGTGCCAGCACAATTTTTCTCAAGTGCGGCCGATAACGGTCTGGCTCGGTCGGTCCAGAAGAGCCAGGAAACAAAAGCTTTTCGAATTCCTGTTGTAGCGCGCGCAGAAGCAAACGGGAAAATAATAAAAGTTGCATTGCCAAAGCATATCTCGCAGGCAGACCAAGGATCAGAGATGAACATCATCTCGCAGGGCCTCGTTAAAGCTCTGAGGCTTGAAAAGATCAGCTTGGGCACCAAGGGGTTCAGTGGTCTTACGATGAACACAGCCGATGGCAGTGCAACGGAATTATCTCATTTTGTTAGTTTCGACATCGGCGTTTGCAGAATTTGGAGACGAATAGATGCGTTCGTGCGCCCAGTCGTGAAGAAGAATGGTGAACTTGATCTTCACTTACTTCTAGGAATACCTTGGTTACACGACGTTAATGCAGGGATTTTTATTCGCGACTCCAAAATAATTCTTGGAGATCCGAAATTGAATGAGGCGAAGGCCGCTATTGTAGGCCCAACGTTTATGTCTTCGAGTGGGCACAAACTTGTATTGTATCCCAGACAAGCCCTGGATGACGAGGGACATAGGGAAGAACCGAGCGAACCACGCGCGAAAGATATTGTAGAATCAGATACTGATACGACAGATGAATCTGACGATACTGACTCTGATTTTGATGATGAGCTCCCAAAAGTTGTTACGTCTTCGTCGTCGGAAAACTAGAGAGACCTAAACATGTCAGTAAACTGTACAAAAATGTCATACACAGTGAGGAAATTACGAAAGAGGATAGTGAAAACCCTTTTTGTCAACAACCTCAGGACTCTGATCTTCAATCTTGTGTCCAATTTTCTAATTTTCATTTTAATAAGGACGGTCATCCTAATGATCCGAATTCGTCACCTATATTGTCTTCCAACCGTGTCTTACTAGAGTCGATGTCATGTACGTTTGACGAGACCGCCTTTGAACCAAGTGACCAGAAAGCACCGCGGATATTAAAGAAGAACAGAGATCTACTAACTAAGCAGCTGATGAGCGTTATGGGAGTTTCTGATAGAAAACACTGCTTAACTGATGGTACAGTTAATGCCTTCAATTCCCAGAACGACTCCAATTCAAATGAACCGTCGACTAGACTAATTAGAGAAAGTTTTGACCTGGCCGGAACATTTCCGACATCCAGAAGACCCAGAAGCAGACCTTTAAGTAAGGCTCCGAAAGAAGAGATCGATGAATGGTTTGGGAAAGTAGGAGTAAAGATAGGTACAGCTGTAGGCGATGACTTTCAACGAGACATGGTGAAACGACTTCTATTCACTTACCGCGATATCAATGGAGTTGAGCTAGAGCAACTAGTCCCAACAGACCTCTATGTTCATAGAGTTAGGATCAGAGAGGGGACTAAACCATTTTCAAAAGTCAAGCAGAAAAGGTGGCCTCCAGGGAAGGAGTTTTGGCTTCAAAAAATTGTTAATGAGGGGCTATCGTGTGGAATGTTCGAAAAGACCATGGCAGCAAATGGAAAGTTGTCAGATTGGAACGCGCAGGCCGTCATAGTGGACAAGAGCGACAATCCCGGACCTTGGGATGAGCCGAGAATTACGTTTAACTACCAGAATGTGAAGGAAGACATGCCAGGATGCTACCTGGAATTGATGGCCAAAGTACACGACCATTTGTCTCACCCCTCACACAAATTTTTTCTGAAGTTTGATGTGAAACACGGCTATTGGAATATCCTCGTTCATCCCGAAGATCGACATTTTTTTG